TCAGCAGGACTGGGAAATCTCCACCGAAGTGGACAAAGAGCCAGTCAATGTTATGATGATTTAGAATATGCTTCTGATCTTTAAAGGCCATTTTACCAAAAATACTGCTTACATTTTCAGGAGAAAGGAAACTGATACTGGAGTAAAAAGAACAGAAGACAGCAGGGAGACACAAATGGCTTTTAAAATGGTAACTGGAATACCTATACTGACAAATATATTTTTCCTCTTTCAATGGTTCCTGTCCCTACTGGACTGTCTTCTAGCAATTGCTTCTCCAGCAATTTCGTTCTTCCCTTTGTGTCTCAAATTTGGAGGAGCTGGTCCTGCAAATGCCTACTCTCAGAAGCAGAGCCACTAATAAATCCTTGTAAGATTAAGCCAGAGACACACAGAGCTAAACAGAACCCACACAAAGTCAGGGTAGATCTGCAAGCAGCCGAGGAGTTATTTATAAAACTTAGTTATGGCCATTCATTTTTGTACTTGGCATACAATGTCTTTCTTTTCTCCTCAAGTCTCAGCCCAGCCACCCACCTTCAGAAACCAGGCAGGCTGAAGACCTTGGTTAGGTTAAAAGCTAGGAATTAGGAATACATTCTCCTCTGAAACCAGAAAGTGACTTTGTTTTAGCTATTTCTTTAAGTGATGCCAAACTTGCAAAGCTACAAAACTGCTGCTTTATTTTATGTGTTCAGGAGATGCTCTGTTTCTCTAGACCTGTGTGTGTGAGGGTGGGTGTGGGTGCAATTTTCAGGCCTGATTTCTGTGCCGGTGTGAAATGTCCCCCAGTACAGTCTGAGACCCTCAGAGCCTACCTAACCATCATTTTTGTGAGGAATTTATGCAAGCCTGAATGTGCCAGGCTAACAACTGAAGTCCTCTGAGAAGTGGCATGGGAGTGGTGTGTGAGGGGGATTAAGGCATCCTTCCTCATAAACTTGGCCAGCAAGTATTAACTTGCAACAAGTGTTATTTAGTCTTCACGCTAACCCTGCAGGTCTGGACTTCTCTCACTACATAAATAAGAGTCAGTGAATTGGGTGTACTTCAGTGAAGGACCCTTCAAGCACCAGTGTCCTTGTTCTTGGTTTCTTTGCTGTGGCTGTTGTAATTTTACTGTTGCTACCAGCAAGGAGTGGAACTTGTGCAATGGACGCTCTGCCCTTTCAATTCAATAAAGCTGACCGTCTCATAATTATTGCAGTAGCATGGAGCTACAAAGTGATCATGTATAAAGACTGGATGTCCAACCGCATTTTGCCTCATTTCTTCCCATCAAAACGTGCAATAATGTGGTTACACATGTAACAGGAACATCATGGTACCAGACACGACATTTGCGTCAAGGAGATTTCAGCTTTAACTGCAGAGGAAATCCTATTTACTCTACTTGGGAACTTGCTGGGTTTTTTTTTTTTTTTTTTTTTTTGTATGTGTGTGTGCTATGAACTGGGCGTTTGCAAATAGCTTGACCTGCTTATGCAGACAATTTACACTCTTTTCATTATTGCTTCCTATGTCTCCTCTTCTCTTGGCTCCATTACATTTGTCATAATTCTTTTTCTCAGAAGTCTAGAGAAAGGAAACAAAGTGATGCTGTACAAACCAGACACTATTTATATTTACTTGCTTAAGAGTGGAGCATTTTTATGCTTTCTTTTTTTTAATTATGAAGCTATTTTAATTGTTTGTTCCTTCCCTGCTGTGCTTCACTAAAAGTTGAGATGCCCTGGAAATACCACATTACTTTTTCCTGTAATTATGAAGTTGTTTGTCTACCAAGACACACATGTTTTGGGGCAGATCTGTGCTTAGGGACCAAGCTACAAAAATTCCATTTAAGAAATACAATATAGTTCTGGGTTCAGGGTAATATTTTCAAACACATCCATGCCATTTAAGAGCCTTTATTCAATTCAAAAAGAAACCAATGTGACTCAAGGGATAATTCCTCTGAAATGTAAGACATCTTCAGGTCGCTATGTGACTGCTGCGCTTGGCAATGTGACCTTTAGGAATCTGTGCAAGGCACCCAGCGTTGGAGAAGCTGCCTCTCTGCTGATGCTGGTTCAAACACTGCTGCCAAAGCAGCTGCCCGAGACCCCCAGCTGCCCCCAGCACCCTCACCAGTGCCAGGGGGGTGTTTACTGGTCACGCACCAGTGCCAGATGGTGCATGACACATGTTGGGTCATGCTGGTGGCAAGTCCCGGGATGACAACATGAGCTGCCCAGAGAATTGGCCTCTGTCCCTCCTTGCCTGAGCCTGGCATCAGTCACGTTGCAGGTCTCCCCCTCCTCCAGCTGTTCTGCTACCCCTGCCGTGAGACAATCACATCTGGACGTGGCACCTGTTTCCCCAGCTTCTGCCCCTGACTTTCTTCAGCTGCCAGGCACGGGCGTTAGGAGTAGACGGTAGGAGCGCAGCTATCAAAAGGGGTCTGGCCCCAAACAGATGGCTTTCCTGGCAGCCTTGGGCTCACCCACACTGCTCTGCTGTCCGGTCTTTTCTCCTCTTTGCATTGACAGTGGTGTCTCTCTCTTTCTCTTTGTCTGCCACGCATAACAACATGAACAGATGAAATAACCCTGCTGGGCATTAACACTATCATTAACTTGCTAGGAATTTGATTTTGAAGTATTTAATCAATCAATTCTGCTAATTTTCAGTGATTTAATCATCTGCTACCACATTTTTATGATTCTGTACAATGCAGTTATCTGAACAAAAACAAGGTAAATTACGGACCTACTTAAGGAGTCTTACGGTATTTTAAGGTACCATTTAGGAAGACACTTTTCTGTAGTGATTTTTTTCAATTTCCCTGGAATGATGGATTTACTAACTTAAAAAGGGAGGAACTTGTTTCTTTTGTTTTCTGTTTCCAAAGTAACAACAACAGACAAACAGCTTTTTTAAATTTTTATAGTCAAACCACTTCAACGTGAGTAAAGCAACTGTCATTTTTTTTTTCCTGTTCATTCATGAGATTATGAGATTCGTGCTGGACTCAGTCCCTCTTCCCTTGAAACTGGTGGCAACGTATCTACTAATTTAACTCAGACCAGGCTCTCTAAATAGTATTTTGTCCCTTTAAAACATCATTTAATGTTTTGAGGATTTATCAGCAATTTTTTGGCTGATTTAAAGGAAGAGTTTCAGGGGAACATTTCAGGGAAATAATCCTGAGTCACATTGTTTTCTTTTTTTAATTGAATAAAGGCTCCACCTAGCCTAGACTGCTGTGAAGATTTTTAGGAAAACTAATCAAGCCATGCCCTAATGTCTTTACTAACTTGTAACGGGATGCTCATCTGTGTAAGAGTCGCATAAAGGCTTTTCAGAATGACCGACCCACTGTTTGGAACAGGACTTGCAAAAGAGATTGAACATCTGGGTTTTCTTCCCCGTAGACTGTTCATTCTTGTGAATTTACTCACTCTGATTTTAAAGAATTGTTTCTGCAGCTTTAGATGTTGCTACAGACTTGCACGCTTATTTGCATTTATGATGCACTTTATTATTACGAATGATGCACGTACAGAATAGTTGATGTTTTACAAAAAACACCCAACATACATCCAAACTAACGCAAACTAGCTGGCTTCAGGTTAAATGTCAGCAGTATCAGAACTTACGTTTCAGTATGTTCCTCTGCTCCAATTCTTCAGCAGTCGGCCTCTGGCTCAGTCGTCTGCGAAAAAAGTCCAAGATCAGTTTTTGGACCATATCACATTCTCCTCAGTTCTCTGTCTTGAAGAGTTATTTTGGGGTGTGAAAGGCAGAGCAGAAAGCACTGACACTGCTCCATTATGTACTTGGTACACCCGGACCATGCGTGACACGGACCATGCTTCGCTTTCGCAGTTTCCTCTGTTTTCAACTCATGAAAGACAAAATACGTTATGTCATCTTAGGCACGACTCTCCCACCCGTACCCCAGGCAGAGATGCTGAAAGCTAAGCTACACAGATGTCTCCACTTAATTTCCTTCCTCCCATGCCTGCTTCCTGACTCACGCAAGTATTTCTAGCTAAGACCCAGCTAACCCTCTCACTGCCCTCTCGCCAGTCTCCTGACTGCGCCCCGTTTGTTCAAACAGTATTTGAACACACAGACAGTCCACAGAAAAAACAAGGGATGGTTTGGCAGCGCCGAGGGCAGAACAATAGCAGTCCTCCTCCTCCTCCACACCCTCACTTCCCTCCTCCTCCTCCTCCCATGGCTTTTATTAAATCTTATATTGAAGGATCAGTGTGCCTTGCTAGTCAACCTGTAGGTAATAGGGTCACAACAAATGCAACCTAATTACAAATGGGGACCCTGAGCACAGAAATAGTCTGAATATTCAGAATACAAAGCAAGGGAGAGAAGCACAAAGGGGTCTTTGGAAAACAAAGTAAACCAGGGAGATGACATCAGAAGTCAACACTGTTGGGCCTCCTCATACTCTCCTCCGAGTCAATGGGAGTTTTGTCAACGATGCCAGTGACAGGACAGAGCCTCCTCTTCCTTCAGATGTGGTCATTCAGAGACATTCCCAACTTGGGGGCCCCAGTCTCTGCCAGTTGGCTCATCCGTTCCCCTGTGAGGTACCGGGTACTGATAGGAAGCATGATATGAACGCCGGCTGCACGGCTTCATCTCCTGCGACGAATGCTTCCCCCGCCCAGGGCACAGAAGCTCACTGAAACGGGGCAGTCTCTGCAAGGCTGGATGAGGGATGTCTGACAATGGCTCCTCACATGGGGGCCGAGCCACTGCTCAGAGATGCACACACATCCCCCAGCCTTCTCCAGAGCCAGGAGCTCACCAGTGAGCCAGTTCAATCTCTCTGCCCCTCACACCGTGCGTGGTGGTGCACAGGGCTGAAGCGCATGGGGTGGGTAGGAGCCCACCCCCCACACTCGCTGCATGAAGGCAGAAGCGCTACAGGCATCTGACTTCTTATAGCCTGAAGATTTCCGCCGGCAGAGGTGATACCAGCCATATGTCCTTTGGGGCCACTTTACACCACAAAAACAAAACAGCAGAACATGGCTCTCTTTCAGTGGAGAATTTGAAGTCATTAGCTTTGTCTCTTTTCCACAGCAGATTGAACATTTATCTCATTGGAAAAGTGTTGAAAGGGACAGAAACTCATCCTTAATTCAGAAGTAAAGAATGTCTACAAAGTACTTTGAAGACACAAAGAGCCATTCAAGTGCTTGCTATTACCTTCTTTAAGATGCAGTAGCTGTTGCTAATGGGAGACTTCACCTTAGGACTATGAAGCAACCAAAACTACTTTATTGCTAGCAGTGCATGAGAATCAAAGAGAAAAAGTTGCCACTCTTAGTCCCACCATGCGTGTCTGCAGGAATTGCGTCATATGATGTTTTTAATCCATGGCACCATGATGCTTTTCAAGAGGATGCATCAGAAGGATGTTAAGGACAGACTCCAGCCATCCAGTGTGCGGCTGCTTCTATAGAAACAAACATCACGCAACAAGTAAAAGGAGAAATTAGTCTGAAGAGAATGCTCCTGAAAAGGTCCTCCCCTTTCCAAGAAAACAGGGATTGACTCAGCTAACAGGTCTGTCAAGAACAGTTCATACTGGAGCATTTCTAGCAAAAGGCCGAAGTTTTACCTATCCGCATAGGTGACTTACAAAAGGGACCAAGTCTTTCATGTGTTTACTGGGGTACTTGCCATGAAGTAGATGCATTTAAATAAAGCTTTCACTTCACTGTGTCATTGCTTCCACACAAGAGGACAGAGACTTCCTCCAAGTATGCCCTTGGTATTATATGCACCCTCTACTCCTGTGCTGCTCAGGGACTTACAGACTGTGGGATTCTTCCCCATACTGCCTGGTAGGGCCCCTAGTGAAAGACAGCCAAGAATACCTGTGCTCCCCATTGAGAGTCAAATTATTTGATAGATCCCATTACCCACCCTTTTCTGGCTGCAGAGTGCTCCTGCCTAAACGATGACCACCATTTTCAAGCACTTCAGAAAAAGCCATGACACTTTTGATAGATTCAGTCTGCAGATCTGAAGCTATCTGCATTCATGTGTTGTTGATCGCTTCTGGACTCAGAATTTTTAATAGCAAGACTTAGGCAGTAGGAAAAGATAAGGTACCCTTGTAGTGGAACAAAATTATGACTAGTCCTTCCAATGCAAGCAGCGAAGCACAGCTGGAGGATGAAGAAGGCAATGAATAGAAGCTGTGGAGTTCCTGGCCTCCAGTACCAGTGTCTGCTTTCATCTCCATGAACAGCTGTTACATCCCCATTTCCATCCATCAGCCTTTTGGACTGATCTGAGCCTGCTCCTGCTCCCTCGTTGTGAGTCCCTCCTTGATGAGCTCCTCAAACAAACCCAGCCCCTACCCCAGCCCTTCCCTTCCAGGCTCTCAGAATGATCTCTTTTCTTGGTCTCTTGCTCTTTTCATTTAATCTCTTCTCTTGCTGCTACAGTGACTTCTGCCCCCAAACTATCTTTGGGCTTTATAAACAACTCCACCAGCTCCTCAGAACAGTTTCCTTTTAGTTCTTTTTTCTTGCCTCTTAACTTCTAGGTTTGCCAGATGTTGAGCCAGATGTTTATGTTACCATTTTTTAAAATCTTGATACTAGTTACTGAGCCTGTAAATCAAGAAGCATAAGTAGCTTTTGCTTTGTTACCGTGGCTGCAAAGACACAGTTTTTTTCATGCCAAATTTCAATATACCATCTCCAGTGCGCCATGCTGATCTTGGCAAACACCAGGCGTGATACCTCCCCGCTTTTACCTTCCCTCCTGTGCTGCCCAGAATAAAAAAATATTAATGAAGCCCACCTAGATTGCAGCGATTGATTTCAGTTGTTTGATTGCTGGATTGCTGCTGTGCCTTATTTCCTTTAACATCTCAGGGGCTGCACGAGGCTGTCAAGAGGCCAGAGGTCAGGAAACAACTGTCTCATTAGCAGCACAATCAGAATAAACAGGAGAAAATGGGGGTGAAGAAGGAGCCTGGTGCAACCGCAAAGAACAGATCTGCTTGTGGAAACTGTAAGAATTGAGTGGGATGTGCGGTGCCGCTGTTCAGAAAGGTAACTCTGGCTGTTTCATGGAGCTGTACGAGCACAGATGACTAACTGAGGAAAAGGCAAGACAGGCCTTAAAAAGTAACAAGCTTTAACACTTGTTGTATTTAACACTTTCTGTATTTAAAATCTCTTGTGTGAACATGCTTGACCTTCACAGTGCCATCCATGCAGTTTTGCAATAAGCTTCAGCCATTCAAGGGGATAGGAAAGTTTGGGTTTTTGTAATTTGTCCTTTGCAATGTGTTGCCTGTTTTATACTTCATATGTTTTTGCAATATTGTTAATAGCAGTTTTGCAAATACACTGGCAAAGGTTTTACTACAAAGAAAACCTTCCTAAGATTTATGGTGACATAAAGAAAGCTTTGCTAGGGCTTCACTGAAAAAAATAATATCCAAATGAGATTGTCAGTGAAAAATAAAACAGTTTTCTCAGGTTTACAAAGATAAACTTGACAGCAAACCAATTTTCTGAATTAATTGTCTGCATGACCAAAATGCACCATGCTCCTTGTGCTAGAACTATACAACAAGAGCTGAGCAGCTCTTTGTGAGGACACTGTGTGGTGGGGTTTTTTTTGTTTGTTTTTTTTTGGTTTTTTTAAAATTTGCTCTGGGCTGGGCACGTCATGGCGGATGAGTAGGAGTTTTGGGGCAGGAGGGACAACTGTGCAGAATCAATTGCTGTAGACTCAAAGTATTGGCTGGTGGGGGTGTAATCTCTTCAGGGAGCCAGAGGAAAGAAAGACAGCATTTTCACTGATGGATGCTACTGTTTGGAGCCTGCCCGGCAAACTGAGAACTCGGAATGTGAAGTTTCTGCTCTGTGTGGCAGTGTCCTGCAAGAGCAATAAAAGGAAAAACTGGCCATACATCTCCCCAGGCTATACAAAACACTTAAAATAAGAGCCCACACAGTGACGCTTAGCCTGCTCTGCAGTGTGGCCGTACCCAGAGGGGTCTCAGGACAGCAGCCAAGTAGTTGTGGGGCTGAGGGTCAGATTCTTGCAGCCCCTGTATCTGGTAGCACCTTTGAAGCAAGGCACTCCGGGCTGCCTCAGCTGTCCCCTACTAGGAGTCATGGGTTTTCTCTCCTTAGTCTCTCGTTTCGTTGTGGATGAGCTCTGGGAAAGAGCTGGTTAATGCCATCCAGCTAGTTGCTGTGTGAACAGGACAGCACTGGATGCGTGTTTTCTGGGTATCGGAATTCATCTTTGCCTCTGCCTACAGCACAAGAAAACCTAAGAGCTTAGTATTGGGTCATCTGTAAGTATAATGGCTGGGTATAATACAGGGCTCGCTGGAAAATGATGCCCCATATACGTGCCAGGCTTGTTAACTCTAAGCATTTGCAGATACAAGAGGCAGAACCCAGCAGCTCTCCAGTGCTTGAATGGTGACATCTGGTGTGTGTGACCCAAGAGCAGGACTGATGGGCAAGCAGGTCACAGGTGGTCACAACAGGGCATGCAGCAGTATGGTGAGGTGTCCAGAACATCACCAAAACATCTCAGAGCCCAGCCACGCTCACGCAGCTCTTCCTGATGGCATAGGTCACCCTGATGTAAAATAACTTCTGAGCAGTGGGCCATAACTTCTGGAGCAACTCCTGAATT